GTATTGTAAAATAATTTTTTTATGTGCTTCACACCGTGTGTAAAATCAGTCGTGTAACAACAACGTTCCCTCCTGTTAATTATCGTTAATAATCTAATCGCTATTTATCTGTATTCAAAATTTCCTGATGAGTACTAATTTATCTGTTTTTTATAGGAACAATTTCTGAATTATGCATACGTAAAATAAATATAAAGAATCGATAACACTTAAAAAAATTAACTCGAATGATGTATAGATTGTTATGGGGAATGTTTGCATACATCTATAAAATACACATACATCAAAGGACTTAAATTTCAAACTTTATATTTCGTATTTAGAGTTAGAATTAACATTTAAATTTTTATCAATTTTACATCTTCATTTTATATGTTTTTTTTTAACATAAAAAAAGAAATGAGGATACGTATAAAATAGACTAAATGGTTGAATTTATGAGCACGTTATCGTGGGACACGCATAAATGTTATGTAAACAGTAAATAACGCCATTATTTTTATTTAATGAAAAAAAAATTTTTGCCTTATTTATTTTAATAATAAAAAAAAAAATTATATCGATCACTAAACATAGTTATATTGTACGTTTGACAATAAAAATTTATGCATCTGTGAAAGGTCGAAAATTTAATTCATCTTTCGCAATTCTCTCGTTTTGTATCGTAATTAAGACTTCAACTACTTTGTTAATATTTCCTGAATATTTTTCTAAAAGTTCGATATTTTTTCATCATCCCAAAATTCCATCGAATGAAAAATTTTTAACTTTCATCCAACGTTTCATTAAGTATTTGATCACTTTGTTGCTTTTGTCCAACAAAGGACAATTAGAAGCATTAAAAACATCTTGACCTACTCTTTGTAGCCATGTTTTGAAAAAACTGAAGAAAACTGATATGAATTTTTAGAATTTTGATGTTGAAAATCGATCCTACATATCGATATAAACAAGAATGTTTCATATAATTTGATCCATAATAGTTAAGGATTTTTATTCAATACAGGTCGTAACTGTTCAAGTAAAATTGGAATCATTGGGCTAAATCAATGAAGATGGCTCTGGTTTTTTCTCATTCAATTCTTGCTAATCTGTTGAACTAGGTTCACTAGGTTCGTAGGGAGTGTCATCCTAAGCGACTCTTCTTATCTTATGAGATTGCAGATAAAAGGAATGGTTGGAGTAAAAATTTGATCCGAAGATACATCTGTTACCATCATGTGATGAGATAATGGCTCAATGGAAGAGTTTGGAAAGTAATGTTAATTTAATTGTTGAGATTGTTGAGGGTGTAGAGCAAGGAATGATGAATCTTAAAGAATATTATCATGAATTTCCGATAATATTATTTATATATACTGTATATATATATTTATTTATATATTTATTTATTGTATGTTTATTTATTTATACAATATTTATAAGCTTTTCAGGTAATTAATTGCCTAATTAGTTTTATGCTTCTCAGAAGGCTTCCATAAAACTAATTGACGTAATAGAAGTCGGTGCATAAATGTTTTCTTTTCACACTTTTAAAGTGTAAGATGTTTAGCCAACGTTATTTTGATAAACAATGGTGAATCTAAGATTTTTTTGGGTTTCATTGAATTCTTAATAAGACTACACGTATAGACCAGCTATTTAAACATTAGTCAAAATACTGTAATAAAATTACGGGTTATTACCAGTAAGCTCTAATAAATATTTCCAATTTTGACAGGGCGTAAGATCGTCGTAATACAATAAAAATTTCGTTTATGTCTTGTCTAGATCAGGGCTCGAAAGAGCTATGGTACATAAAATTGCGTGAGGACATTTAAACGAAATATATACAACGCTTTCTTTTTTTTCTTTAATAATGTTATATATATATCTTATATGTATATATTTTTTTACATTATTCCAGATTCATATCTTAAAAATATTTGAGAAACATTCCTTATGCAATTTGGTTAATTTTACCGGAATGTCCGTCATTATTTATTTATATGATAGTTCGGGAAAAACAAATAAAAACAAATAATATTACTAGCAATCAAGATTCCCTTTTAAGTTATTTCCATCACACAGGGTGACAATTTATTAAAAATATATACCTACAACTAATCAAATGCTAACCCTAACCCTATGTGATGTCGGGTAAGTGGACAACCGCAATACTACCATATTTAGAATCTTTAAACACGCCTTTGACACGCACTTAAATAAAGGTATTTATAGCACAGCACGCCTCTATGGTGTTGTCTTTTTGCTCATATAATTCTAATAGACTAGAAAAGAATCGAAATATTTAATAGATTGCGAAGGATATCCTTTACTACTCGCTCTCGTTCTTTTATTTCATTATGGCAGGATTAAATCGGACCAATACCACACCTGAATCGATATTCCAATTTCGCGAAAATAATATGTATACAACCGAAAAAATGAAGGCTTACTCTGAAATTGAAAATGAATTTAAAAGAATTCAGAGTAAGCATGATGATGAATATAAAGAGCTCGAGTGTAGGCACGATAATGAACGTAAAGAACTCAAACAAAAACATGTTAACGAACATGAAAAACTTAGAAACAAACAGCATCAGGAAATTAAAAAACTATTCTTGCGTCATCAAAATAGACAACCTTTCAGGAAAAAAGATAAAAAAAGGACAGTGTCTTGCCCAAGCACATATCTTACCCCTTCCGGCTCTTTGGGAGAACAACAGGATATTCTAACTACTAAACAACCTAGCAAGCACTTATCTTACAATGCTTGTCCAAACAATCCTTCTGGCCCTTCGAGAATGCCATCTATTAAATCACCGAGTCAGCACTTACTTTACAGTTCTTCCGAAACTAGCCTCAGCTTGGAAGAATGGCACAACGATAGTTCTATACGTATGTGCGATTGTAAACACTTACCCCTAGTCTTTTTATTTTATTTTTACCAATTCAGCAATTCATTAATATTACATCTCTCATATACTTACTATATGCACTTGCAATACAGGTGATTTTTCAATATTTAACGAAATGAGATATTCAAACAACTCACCATCCAGTTACTTAACTCCTTTTTGCGCACATGGTAAAACAATGCTAAATATTTGATACATTTACTATTTTAAATTATTAATTCATTTATTGACGCTTTTATACAATAGGAAATCCTACATTAATCTCTAGGGATGGTCAAGAGAATAGCACAAGTAATTTCGATATGACTAACGTAAATGATGGGCTCTATATAGATCGTGTGGGTGTCTAAATAGGTAAGTACTGTATTTACAGTTTAATATGCAGTATATCGATAAGCATTAATATAAATTACGTATTAACACACGTATAAATAGATTCACAAAAATGCTGCTATAAGATTCCTGATGGCACGAAGGATGTTTATTTTTCTAATAATATTTTAGACTTCATTTCCATCTATACAATGCACTGAAATGTCTTCTTATTTTTGGTATATGTTATATTTATAAATTATAGATTATTATTATATCATATTGGATAGTGTCATTTACGTTTATAAAAAAAACACATAAAATGAAAAGTATATAGTTTGATTCTATAACACCGTCTTAAAAAGCATTTTATATTTTTTTCGTATATATTCATGTCCGAGCTTTTTATTTTAGAACTTCTACAATATTTCCTATTTTCATTCTTACAACTACGGAATTAAAAATCCGTTGATAAGCAGTAAAATCGAATACGGCTTTGGCGATCGCAATCATTTAATCATATGATCTGTGAATAGTAATACATATGAAATTCTTTGAAATTTACTGAACTCTGCTCGTATTTTCAATACTTATAGGTATATGGAATTACAGTAAAAAGCTAACGATTGTACACTTAGCAGGAATTTTATTTGTAAAGATGTAATTGGTCAATTGATTGATACAGTCAGACCTCTCTAAATGCACGTCGTCGGGACCGGCCCTAGCACATGCATTTAGAGAGGTATTGCATTTAGGGAGGTAAAAATCTATAGATGTAATATTATTTGGGTCCAAAAGAAGACGTGCATTTAGAGAGGTGCTGCATTTAGGGAGGGTGCATTTAGGGGGGTCTGACTGTATAAATTAACTTTTTGGTAACTGTCAAGTATTATCAGCCCTAAACTTACGCAATGATCACAGTTTGGTTAGACAACTATGATAGTATGACAAACAATTTAATTAATAAACAAAAACAAAATTGCCCAAAATTTCAATTCATTTATCCAAAAAAAAAAGATGTGGAATAAATAATGCACTTAAATATGTAAATTTCACGAAAAAAAATTCTTACATAACTGAGGAATAAAGAGTGCTCTGAGTTAATTATTTACTTATTTTATAATAGCCACTTATATTTTTTGGAACTCTTTGTATCAACAGTTACGCATATTTATATGCAGAAATCCTTGTATGTATGTCGTCATGCCGATACTACATAATGTAAATATATCGTCCCAAATTTGCTTCGTGAGATGATATAATAAAAGTTCGGTTCGGTTCGACTCAACTCCAAAAGTCGAGCCTATATTAAAGTTCGGTTCCGAGTCAAACTTGGGACTCGACTCGCATTTCACGTGCATCTTGAACATTTAAATGTAACATAAAAAAAATGAGTATTCATGCATATTTTTGCATACGCACACATTTCTTTAGTGCGAGTCGAGTCTCAAGTTTGACTTGGAAACTTTAATAAATACTCGACGAGTCGAACCGGGCCGAATTTGACATCCTTAGTCATTTGGTCACGAGTCATTTCAAAACTTGAATGATCTCAAATGACCAGTCACTTTGAAGTCATTGAAAAATTGGCAAGTGACTGGGTCATTTACACTATACCGATACTGTATGTATCATACTAGGTAGACATATTAAAATATATTGTCACACAAATAACAGCAGAGAAATAACAAAGTTTGATTATACGTATCAAAACCATTCGAATAATGTTTCAGAACATGAAACACGTAATAATCTTTTTCATTGTTGAAATGTTACACGATTGAATATTATTCACACTGGCATATAGATGCATAAACCGGTTTGACGTAAACAAGTAATGTCATAAGCCTGCATCTATACCTTTATACTTCTATTTAGAATTGCAAATCGATATTAATATGATACCTCGTTGATAAAAATCAATATAGATAGAAATCGATAAAAATTTAAAATTGATATAGCTAAATCGATTGATTCTTAACACCACGACCGATAGTTTAAAGTTAATCGATTATAATCAATTTGTTATTTGTTATCAATTATAACCTGTTTCAAATTTCCTTACTGTAATATTTCATTTTGACACTAAAATAGTAGTTATTGGTGCATAACCGTTTTCTTTCAAAATAGCTTTCTGATTTTTAAAGTATAGCCAAGTTTATGTCATTCATTGCTGCAGTTATATTAATGTTAGCAAATAAACTTTTCATTATCGGAAAATAATGAACATATTACCTTTAATAAATCAATGCTAGATGATTTTTTTGAGAATAAATTATTTTACGTAATATTTGAATTAAGCTTCTTAATTAGGCTATACGTAATATTTGAATTGTGCTTCTTAATAAGGTTATACGTACAATCAATTGTTAAACATAATAGTCATAATATGAACCAAATTTAAATAAATTTGTATTTAGAGGCAAACAGCATTGCGTGGACAAACAGGTAGCAGTTTCCGGTTTTGACAAGGCGTAAAGATCGAAGATCGTTAAAAACAAACATTTCATTTATGTCTGGACTTGGGTTTAAGTGAATGCTCGGAAAATTTTAATTAAGCGCGGTTTTTACAAATGTTTTTTTTTTTACACTACTCCAGATTCTGCAACTTCTAAACGTACACTAAGATTATATAATATATTTAGTATTTATCGTATAAACGTGCGTTACCTCTACTTACATATACCAATAAACTATAGCCTTACATACAATTCCTACACATAATATCTGAGAGTAAAGCGAAGAGTAACTTAATAAAAATAAAGTACTGAAATTGACGTAAATTCACACATCTAGTGTCCCAAGCGGTAAACCGGTTTTGCGACTTTTTGAGATATCTACATGTGATCGGCATTGTTGCATACATATGCACGTATTTTTTCCAAATTTAAACAATGAAAAAAAATAAACTGTACTGTACATTTTATTAGCATATATACAGTATCGTTTGACCCGATTACGTAATTTAAATGTATAATAATATAATAAAATTCTGTTAAAGAAATCCGATTAAATGCCAAAAATGTAATTATTGCGAAGACTGTGTTGATTTAGTTAAACGATAAAGGTCATTTATTAAAATGTAAAAACTTAGGTCCTTCAAATAATTCATTCGCGAAAACTTATGAGATTTTACATAGGGTAATATTGTAAACCTTGGACCAACAAATGCAAAAATTAATGTAGAATGAAAGGTTGTATTGGCCGATAAGCAAATTTCGCATCAAAAATGTAATAGCTTTGATAAAAATTAAAGCGATCAAATAAAATTTTTGTAATATCTAATAATTCGAATTTATATAGCACCGTCTTTTTTTTCTCTGCTGAAAATTAAAATTAATCAATCCGGGACAATGCTTCAGCAGAATTTTAGCATCAGATGTCAATGTTGTTTTAAAACAATAAAAACTGGTTGAAACTGTTTTATTACCATCCCTATTGCATATCTGATATGAGTCGTATACGCACTGTACGTGTGTACGTACATGCATATACATTCCACTATGTTATGCCCCGAATTTCATCTGGGGTATGTATGTACGTACGTACAGGCTTTTTTTATTTTATATAATATATTAAAATGTCGATATTTCTTCACGTAACTACGTACATAATTAGTATGACCAAGTTGGCGGCATTCATCTAGCAAAAGAGGAAGCTGATGTTAGCAAAAAAGGAAGTTTTCATTTTTGATAAACAATGAAAAAAAAACTAGAGCTGCATGAATGGTTTTTCGATAATCCTGTATTGAATCTATTAACTGTTAATAAGAATATTTAAACATTAGTATCAAAATTAAGGGCTCTTATTAACGCTAGCGCTAGTAAGATCCAATAAATTTGATATTAAAGCAGGCAATTATTGCATGGATTCACAAGCAAGCAATAGTTTCCAAATTTGACAGGGCGTTAAGAAACAACTTTTGCATCATTACTATTTCTGTATTCATTGAATAACGATAATTCTATTACTGGATTTAGTATACGTATCAACCAATTTTTTTTATTTTTCTTTTTTCTTTTTTTAATTAAGGCCATACAAATTTAATTACTTGGTTTTCATAACATGAAACTTTTAAATAGACCCGGTCGGCGGGCTTTTTTAAAAAAATTTCATATATAAAATTTTATAAAATTTATATAAAATTTTTTTTTAAAACCCATCCAGTTATTAAAACATATAAAAGAGTTTTTTTTTGAAATTTTCAAATTTTGACCGGCTGGGTTATGAAAACCAATTAATTGATTTTGCATAGCCTAATGTCTATTATTTTATGATCTGCAATTAAATTAAATAGTGCAGTACACCTCTGTTTTTTGTCTTTTTTCTCATAAACACCAAGGAGAAAAAAATTAGAAAGATCGAATATTTAATATATTGCGAAGGATATCCTCTACATATTCGCTCTCGTTCTTCTATTTCATCACAGCAGGGGTAAATCATACCAATACCACGTCCAAATCAATACTCATGTTTCGCGAGAAAAATATGTATACAACCGAAAAAATGAAGACTTGCTCTGAATTTAAAGAATTTAAAGACGAACTTGAAAAAATTCAGAGTAAGCATGATGACGAATATAAAAAGCTCGAGGATAAACACGATAATGAACTTAAAGAACTCAAACAAAAACATGTTAATGAACATGAAAAACTTAGAAGTAAACAACATCAAGAAATTAAAAAACTTGCCAATAATCGCATGCGTCATCAAAATAGACAATCATCCAGAAGACAAGGTACAAAAAGATCAGTATCTCGTTTAAGCACATATCCTACTCCTTCCTATTCCTCAAGGAAACAACAGGGTATAAATCTATCTCCAACTACTAACCAACCTAGTCAGCACTTATCTTATAATACTTGCTCAAGCATTCCTTCCGGCCCTTCAAGAAAACCAACTACTGAACCACCGAGTCAGCATTTATCTTGCAATAGTTCTGAAGCTAATCCCAACCTAGAAGAATGGCTCAACAATGGTTTTTATGATTGTATACTCAGCACACGTATGTGCGATTGTCAACACTCCTTTTTTTTTTTATTTAATTCATTAATATTTTACATCTATCATATATTTATTATGCGCACTTGCAACACAGGTGATCCTCCAGTCTTTAACGAAATGAGATATCCAGACAATTCTTATTTTATTCCTTCTTACACAAATGATTATGGTAATCAATGCTACATGCTACACAGTATATTTACTATCATAAATCAATTCATTTTATTAACTTTTTTAAATACAATAGATAACTCCACACTAATCTCTAGAGATGACCAAAAAAATAGTACAAGAAGTCAGTATAGTAATATCGATATGACCAACGCAAATGATGGATCCTATTTAGATCGCATGGGTGGCTAAATAATTAGGCAAGTGTTTATCTGTATAAGTTACATTTTAATATCAAACATGCACACTACGCACTTATAAATAGATTTACGAAACTGATCATTTTCTTATAATCTTCTAGGCTTCGTTTTCACTGTGGTCCAAGTTATCTTTATTTTGGTATATAGTTATATTATATTTATAAATTATAGGCTATTATTTATATAATATTGGATGAAATAATTTATGAAAAAAAAAAATCAAAAAAGAAAGGGTTATGGTTGGGTTCTAAAACATTATATAATATATTTTTTTCGTACGGATATTTATTTCCGAGCTTTATATTTGGAAGTTCTACAATATTCCTTTGTTCTCACTATGTTCGTTCTTACAAGGAAATATCAATTGTGTAGAAAACATGACAACGGAATTAAAACTCCGTTAATAATATGCAGTATTTGATAGCAGTAAAATCGAATGCCACAATTTTAAATCGTTGGCGTTAGCCATTTAGATATACCGTATTTTATAATATGCCAAAGGAATGTACTTACTTTCATTAAAACCATTTACAATCTATTATTTCTGTATTTACTTTATATGAGTTCAATTTTATATCTGAAGAAACCGACAGGAGAAATTACTAAATATAGTAATTACCATTTCACGCAATTACTTATCATTAAATGTTAATTGTTAATCTACTTATTGTAAATAAATATTTGAAATTCTCTCGTGTTTTCGATACTTAAAAGTATAATGAAGCGTATGAAATTAGTTAAAAGCTAACAATTGTATGCGACAAAAAATCACCGGAATTCCGATAATCGCACGTTCTAACGATAATCCTAAAACTGCCATAAATGTCGGACACGAGTACCCCACGGCGTGTACCTTCTACCAGTTTTAAAAGTTAGGCGGTAATTTATGTATCATATCAGGTAGATATAGAAAACCTGTCTCTGTACCCCTTATATAGAAGTACCTCGGGTACACGGATCTCAACAGAGAAATCGAAGTAACAAAGTCTGATGCCATTCATCGAATATAGTGCGCGTAGTAATAATTTTTCTCATGCGATTATTGAAATACAATGTCTGAAAATTCGATGGATACATTATTGAAATATTACACAATTGTAGCCTGCAGCCAGATGTTACACGGGAATTTTATATATATATATTTCATAATGATAATAATGGATATACTATATAAAAATGGCGACACAATATTTTATTTTTGATACTAACGTATAAGTTACTGGTATAAACGCTTTCCTTCATAATAACTTTTAAAGTATTCATCATTCATTGCAGCAGTTATGTTTGATGTTTAGTAAAAGAACATGAACGTTTTCATTATCGGTAAACAATGAAGAAACTAACTTTAAATAGTAATTTCTAAATGGTAATACTAGGTCCAAGAATGATAATTACGGGTTCTTACTAGCAAGCACCAATAAATTTGTAGTTTTCCAATTTCGACAGGGCGTAAAGTTCGTTGTAAAACAATAAACATTCCATTATTGTCTGGTTTGGATTAAAGTCAGTTTCGGGAAACTTTAAAATCTTTAACTAAGAGATATGCGCGATTCTTACAAATGAAAATTTTATTTTTTACACTATTTCAGTTCTACCAGTCGGATTGTCAAAATATTCAACAATACAAAACAATAAAAAATAGTCCATTCAATATTATGCTATAAACATGCGTACTTGTACTTAATTACACCACATAACTATAACATATGATGTGCGAATTTTAGGTATTTAATTATTTTTATTAATAATTAATTACTCTTCGCTTTACTCCGGACGTTATATTATTGCATCTGGTGTCTCAAATTAAACCAGTTTAAATGTAATAGTTACATTGATATGCACATATATTTTTTTTCAAATTACTAAATTAGTATAATGCATTGATATGCACATGGTTTTTTTGGTTTTTTTCAAATTACTAAATTAGTATAATAATCCAACAGTAAAATAAGCTGTATATTTTATTTCTTCGAGTTAGATACTGTATACGTATATCTTTTTTTAGTTAATCGCTATTAATATCACTTTATTAATCATATTGTTTATATGCTGTAATCAAAATATTGCCACATTAATTGATTCGCTACTTTTTATCTTCTCGGACTCGGCCCTTGAAAAATTTAATCTTTACGTGATTAGTTCTTAGACATTTTAGATCTGTTTGATAACTAAGAAATACTGACGCGTGGTATCAAACCGATCATTCGTATATGTATTTGGTCACATGTAATTATTGCAATATTAATTTACAGGTTTTCTCTTTCCGCCCCTCATATACGTACGTACGTCCGTGCAGGCAAAAATCACATGTATACAGTATGTGTATATGCATGCATATATATCTGATATGTTTATATGTATACATATCGATATGTTTATAGACATGAATTGTATCCTGGATTGAATCGTCCCGACTCAGAATCGGAACAGTCTCAGATGAGAATTTCTGTAAATTATACTAAAAAAAATTTTTTTTTAAACCTTTAATAATTCTATCTCTAAATTCTAATCATACCGAAATAATTTATTAAATTCTCATCTGCTGTCCCTGAACGATTCCAATCTGGGGTACGATATATACACGTTTATTAAATGGCGGTTGTAATTGTGTAATTAGCTTAAAGCTGGCGGCATCCCTTACTGCAATATTATGTTTGATGTTAATAAAAAAGGAAATTAGTTGCAGTTAACAAAAAAGGAAAGTTTTCATCTTCGATGTAAACAATTAAGAATCTAACTTTAAATAGATCTTAAAAAACATTAATGGAATTATACTACCTTACCGTTACGTTATGTAAAACAACGGTTGAATCAAATCATTGCTATTTCTGTACTGATGAAAATTGATAATACTATTACTAAATTTAGTAACCGGATTTTAGTATGCATTAAAAACTAATAAGGAAAAATGCATTTTGTTTTTTTTTTGTTTTTTTATGTTAAAGATCTGCTTAAACGTGCATTTTAAATAAGCTCGGAGTTTGGTGTTTACAGTAACGTTCCCTCCATGTTTTGTCTTTTATTCAAGAATAAATTAGAAGAATCGAATATCCATTATGGTGGAATCTCTCGTGCATACAACCGAACAAATAGTGTCTGATTCTGAATTTGAAGATGAATTTAGAAGAATTCAGAGTAAGCATTATAGCGAACATAAAGGTCTTGAGAGTAAACATGATGGTGACCGTGAAAAACTTAAGCAAGAACATGATAATGAATTTAAACAACTTAAAGATAAACAATATCTGGAACTTGGAAAATTTGCCAGTAATTCTTTGCATCATCGTCAAAATAGAAAGCATTCTAAAAAACAGAAGGAGTTTCGCGTGTATACAATCGAACAAAAAAAGGCTGACTATAAATTTGACGATGAATTTAAAAACATTCAGAGTAATCATTATAACGAACATAAAGATTTCAAAAGTAAATATAATTATAAACGTGAAAAACTTAAGCAAAAACATGAAGATGAACATAAACAACTTAAGAATGAACAATACCAGGAACTTAGGAGATTTGCCAGTAATCCTTCGCATAATCGTCAAAGTAGAAAGCGTCCTAGAAAACAAGAACTCAAAGAATTTACCAGTAATTCTTTGGGCCGTCAAAATAGACAAAATTCCAGAGAACAAGATACAAAAATATCCGTACCTTCTTGCTCAAATACTTATCCTACTCCCTCTAGCTCCTCAGCAGAACAACAGGATATGAACTTATTTCAAACTACTAATCAATCTAGTAATCAACCCAATCAGTACTCATATAATAATTGCTTAATCACTCCTTCTGGCCCTTCAAAAAAACCAACTGTTGAACAACCGAATCAATACCTATCTTGCCATAATTCTTCTGAAACTAACCCTAACTTGATAAAATGGCCCTTCTCCGGTTTTAGCGTTAATGCTTGTACATTCAGTAACCTAAGTACATATCATACTCCTTCCGGCCCCTCAGTAGAACAACAGGATATAGATCTATTTATAACCGCTAATCAACCTAGTAATCAACCCAATCAGTACTTATACAATCCTTACTTAAGCACTCCTTCCGACCCTTCGAGAGAACCAACTACTGAACAGCAGAGACAGTACTTACCTTACCATAGTTCTTCCGAAACTAACCCCAACTTTGAAGGATGGCTCTTCGCTGGTCTTAGCACTAATGATTGTGTATTCGGTACCTTACATTATCCAAGAACATATCTTATTCCTTCCGGCACCTCAGCAGAACAACAGGATATAAATCCATTTTCAACCACTAACCAACCTAGTAACAATACTTGCTTAAGCACTCCTTCTGGTCCTTCGAGAAAACCAACTAATGAACAACCGAGTCAGCACTTACCTTACCATAGTTCTTCCGAAACTAACCCTAACTTGGAAAGATGGTCCTTCGTTAGGTTTAACACTAATAATTGTACATTTGGTATCACATATTATCTCAATGCTACATAAACTTGTATTTACTATTTTAAATTATGAACTCATTTTATTGACGTTTTTATAAATACAATAGATAATCCCAAACTAATCTTTAAAGATAGCCAAAAGAATCGTAATATCGATATGACCAAACGCAAATGATGGGTCCGATTTAGATCGCATAGCTAAATCATATAATCAGGCAAGTACATAACAGATAATTTATCTGCTTAACATACAATATATTGATATTGGTATTAATATAAGTTACGTATTAATATCGAACACGCACGTATAAATAGATTTGCGAAAGTGCTACTACCAGCATAAGATTCCAGATAGCATGAAGGAAAATGAATATTCTCTTATAATCTTCTAGGCTTCACTTTCATAGTAATGCCGAAATATCTTTATTTTTGTAGTTATATTTGTAATTTTTATATAATACTGGATGAAATAATTTATGGAAAAAAAATCACAGAAAACAAGAAAAAGTATATAACTTTGTCAAAAACGCCATATTAAAAATATTATATATATCTGTTGACACGGAAATTCATTTCCGAGTTTTACAATATACAGTATTTGGAAATTCTACAATACTCTTTTTATTCTTACAAGGAAATGTCCCTTTAAAGAATTAAAAAAAGTTATGACTACGGAATTAACAATCCGGTAATAATGTAAAAAGAATGTCACCAATTTTACTACTATAAATTTTCTGCATTTCATAACTGCCAAAGGAATAATATTTTCATTAAAACTATTTACAATCTACTATTTACTTTACATGTTATATCCTGAGAAACCAAAATATAAACCCAAGATAATTTGAATGAACTTTCTTGAATTTGTTTAGATAGATAATCGTGTAACAGGACACAATTTACATACAGTTCTATAATATTATGGAAGTGTTCTGAAATTCTTGCCTATGACATAATCACAATAACCATTCCATTGTATTTCTAATCACATATATGAGATCTTTCAAAGTGTTTTATAAAAGAGTAATTATCGGTAAAATGGTTGTCACACTTGGGGCAGCTAAACCGTGATTCTGGTTTTTTTGATGCTTCTGTTGGCCTTGATTTCTATAACAGATCAAAGTATATGAATTTACTGTATAAGTGATAAAAAATATGAAATAACAATAATGACATACTTGTGAAATAATATCTTTGATCATCTTGACATCCAACGTAAACCCTGGTAATGTATCCCCTCCATCTATATCCCCCAGGCGCGTTCACGACGAAAGACTTTTCCCTTCTCATTTCGCTTATATATCCACATTCTTTCGTTTTTAGGATCGATCAACAAACCGATTTGTACTGAGGTACCCACTGCAAGGTATTCAGATTTAAACTTTTCATCCAAATCATCAAATACTTTATTCTTTTTTTTCGTATCCGAATCCTTGATAGTATCCGAAACCTCTATAACAACCGTTGGTGTAAAGGGTTCACCTTTAAAAGTCCAGAGTTGTTGTTGAGTCAAATGACGATATACATTTTTCGAAGTGAAGGATACATCGGGGGCACGAATTGTTCTTCTACCTCTAACATGGAAATTGAAACCTCCTTGGGAGGAAGTGACGACACCTCCCTGACCAGTTTGAACGTTCCAATTACCGAGTTGCCTGACAATTTCTGAGACAACAGCTTCCATATTGATAGTTGTATGTGGCATAGGTATTAGATTTCCGTTTTTGTCATGTTCGAAAAGATTAACAGGTTGTCCGTTAATTTCAAAGGTATGGTATTTAACTGGTCGCTTATATACTCGAATTCCTCAAAGGTGTAGCTACGGTTAAGCTCCAAATCGTTAAGATCTATTTTTTGTTGAGCTTTCGACGACATATTCGCAGATAAAAAAAAAAAAATAGGAAATAAGCAATTTATATAATTAGATAATCATAATCATATTACACAAGATCCTTGCTATTTTGAAGTACCGAAATTAAGCACCACCCCTCTACCCAATTTTTGAATTTCAGATTAGCGGAATTTATAATAAGATCTTTGGCTAAATTACTCCCGCTAATCTGAGATTCAAAAAATTGGGGTAGAGGGGTGGTGCTTAATTTCGGAACTATACGGTATTCCGAAATATAAGATACCACCCTTGATTCCAAAGTAGCTGATGCAGTTGATACAAGCGATCATAAGAAGAACGCCAGCGATTGGAAGCAACTAAGATAATGTAAGAGGTGAGAAGAGCCATAGGTTATTCTAATAATGTAAGAGGTGAGAGTACCACGATTCCCGCAATTCCAGCAGTAATTATTACAAAGAAAATATTTTATAATAAAAAGTTAAAACCGTTTAGACATTATGTAGTTGCTTCGTAGATAAATTAAAATTACATTTCGTCACTTGTATATACTGAGAATTTACTATGGGCGTTCTCAAGTGCCTCAATTAATGGGCCAAAGCATTTTGCTTTTATTTGAAGTTTTTTTGCTTTCAGATTAGCTTTTTCATATAGTTTAGATTGTACTTTTTGTTTGTTTAATAAAAATGCGCCGGGAATTAAAATTTTAATTGGAAGGTATTTTTAATCGATCAATCGAGCCAGTCATTAAGATAAGTAAAGTAGTTTATTACGCAAAAATACCATTCTTGATGGATCGTCGGTACTGTTTTTGATAGGTATAAAAAAAAAACGATTTGCATACCGTTCTTGATAGGTTTCTAAAAAAGACCTCTAAAATACTATACTACTATAGAAAAGTATATGAAAAAAATTAGGATTAGGGTTCGTTTTTAGAACCCTATCAAGAACGGTACTCAAATAAATTTTTTTTAACACCATCAAGATCAGTACCGACGATCCATCAAGAATGGTATTTTTGCGTTTATTACATGAAAGAAAAAATTTTAAATGATCAGTGGGTTTATCATTTCAGTCAAAAAACTTTTTGCCCCGAACCACCTTTTTTTTTGCGCTGACTTATCAAAAATTTATAAAAATTAAAGTGTATAAAGTATTGCTCAAGTGTTTTCATATTTTTATTATGAATTTTCATTATCAACACACTTTTTGTAAAATTTTCGATAAACTTTTTAAAATCCTCTCAAGCAGCGATTTGAGATCTTTATTTGATCTATTGTTGAAGTTGAACATCACTAAAATCGCAGGAATATTAATGTTGACATATCTTAATAATATCGTTGTTCGTATTATTGACTTTTATTCAAAATGGTATGATAATAGCTAAAATTACAATTATAATAATTGTGCACCATTTCGATCACTATGAAATTGCATCTAAGTTGATGCTTGAGAATGAACCTAGTGCTCGACAAAATCAAACAAAAACTCGATTATCGAGTTTTTGAATCTATCGATTTATAGTATTGTGCTTCAATTATAAAATCTATGCTGACTTTAAACTTCATTTTAATTACTAAAGTAAGATCGGATTCCTGTTAGATTTATATATATACTAAAAAATAAAACTTGTATTTAATGCACAATATTGTAAATTGATAGATTCAAAAACTCGATAATCAAGTTTTTGTTTGATTTTGCCGAGCACTAGATGAACCCTTGTTGGAATCAAGTCAGCGATATCAAAGCCTTATCATAAGACTAAGAATCTAATTAACTTAGGGCCTCATAAAAACAACGAAAATACTTTCTAATGATGCAGAACAAAAAATCAATTCAAACTTTATGAATGCTTTATTTCCTAAATTTGATCAATCGTTACATATTATGACAATGAGTTATTCCTCTACAATATTTTCTGCACTCACT